TACTAAACTGATTTTGTATATATATATATATTATATACCAAATTGTACACCAGTACAAGAAAAAGAAAACTCGAAGATACTAATACATATGGTATATATACCGAACCACCTGATCAGCTTCATAACAATAGGCTATGTGCTTCTCTTAAGGGAAGACCCATAAGATCAAAAGAATAACAAAGTTGCAGACATCTGTCTACGAGTAATATAATATATACGTAGTTTAAATACACTATAGGAACTTAACGCGATAGTCCTGTCATGACCACGACGTGGTACATCCAAGTCGAAGCGACCGGCAATAAAGAAGCAAGTATGTAGGTCTCGGTTGTGTATTTAAAATATTATGTGTAAACAACGCGAAAGTTTGTAAAATTAACTAATCTCGTATTGTTACATGGGAGCGAAATGTTTGTTTACTAACTTTGTGGTATAAAAAAAAAATTAAATAAAATAAAATTCTCATGACTTAATACCTAATGAGGTATTAAGTCAAAGAAAATGAACAAAAGCGATTCGGCTTCTTTTTTTTTTTTATACAACTTAGAATGGCAAACAAGCTGACGGCCCACCTGATGGAAAGTGGAAACCGTCGCCTATAGACATGAGCAGTACCATGGACATAACAGACTATACTGTTTCATCCATGATACCCCACATGCGTTGCCTTTCCTGAGGACTCAGGTGTTATTCCTCTGTACCCAGTAAATTCACGCCATATCCCACCCTTCAAACCGAAACACAGTCATGCAAACACAATTGCTTTACGGTTGAAACACAAATGGGACAGAGGTACCCAAGCCATCGACTTTTATACAAAGTCTCCCTCTGGTGAATATGCTCTGTCTCTGCTCCCTCTGATATGTAAAAGAATTATAAAATCAGCTATGTAGTTTATGAGTTTATTTAAAGAGGTAATCCAGTCTTTACTCTTTATAATATCAGTATTGGTTGCCGTTGTGGCAAATGTAACAATTGACATGCCCATATTCAACCGAGCATACTAGAAATCAACATGGTGGCCCATCTAATCGAAAGTGGTAACTATCACCTATAAACACGAACACTACGGACGTCACAGAATAAGATACGACGCCCAAAATAACCTTCATATATTACCATTATTGAGAACTAAAATTAAGCCACCTTATTCTGTAATTTCACTATGATACCGCACTCTCAAACTAAAACAGCCATGCAAGCAGAGCCTGACAGCAAAAACATGAGTAAGATAAAATTCACGACAACAATAACGCGTATAATACAATATCAGTGAGTTATTTGCTAGAAAAATTAATAGAATCTCTCAGTGGCCGCTTGTACGTGCCATATTGTACATATATAATTACCATTTTTCATCAGAAACTATATATTCACGTGATCGAATCCTTGACATGCATTTTCACGCGTTGAAAATTAATCGAATATTTGACAAGTGTTTCATAACAATAACATTATCGGATCGAAAGTCAATATAGATAGGTATCAATATACTTTATAGTTAGTTTTATATTTCGTAATTAGACTGCGCGTGGGCTCTGTCGAAAATCATAGTTTTTATCCGACGACGACAAAGCCAAAAGATTGGGTTATGCTTATAGCAATCTATGTTATTTTATACGTGTTTATTCCATACGCCTAAACCACTCCTGTGGGGGGGAAAGTGATTGTTAGTAATGAGGCCAAATAACCCCATCGTCTTATTTAATTTGCTTATAAATGTACTTGCTAAATGTACTTGTTTACGGACCGACATTTTATAATGTTACATATTAACTTATTACCAAACACACATACGACATGACTCATAGTTATGTGGTAAAAAACATTAACTAGGACTTAGAAAGTCACGACTTCAGATAACGATCACAATGACTGAACAATTAAAATACTTTTCTGAATCATACATTAATCGATTATACGGTCCACTACTGTTTCCGATTGCTTACCTCATGCCAACATCGGAATTCAATAACCTATGTAAAAGAAATAATTAAGAGATCGACTGACTATACACTCACGTGCTGTGATATCACGAGCTTCAAAACATAGGGGTGTCGATGCATAAATATCATTTTAGAAAAGTATATAATTAGGTACTGGTTTCTGTAATTTTTTTTATACAACTTAGAATGGCAAACAAGCTGACGGTCCATCTGATGGAAAGTGGTAACCGTCGCCTATAGACATGAGCAGTACTATGGACATAACAGAGTATACTGTTTCGCCCATGATACCCCCATGCGTTGCCATTCCTGAGGACTCAGGTGTTATTCCTCTGTACTCAGTAATTTCACGCCATATCCCAACCTTCAAACCGAAACACAGCTATGCAAGCACAACTGCTTCACGGTTGAAACACGAATGGGACAGAGATACCCAAGCAATCGACTTTTGTATAAAGTCTCCCTCTGGTATGTTTATCTTTAATATGCATTTTGCATAACGAAGAAAGTACTCGTATTTATTTACCATCCATATAAACTGTTAAGTGTCCACTCTTGAACATAGGTAGGCCTCTCCCTATATCCTCTTGACAGACGGGTTGGCAACCGCAGTTAAACATTGGTGATGTTTGAAGAGGGACCTTGCTGCCCATACCTCGATTACCACTTACGACACTCAAGAGAAAGGAAGGGGTGGGCCATTTTATGCCGTAACCACACGGAGCAATATTTATAATATAATATAATTTGTATTTAGCATACAAATTTCCGTTAAAATTTGCTCATCGCGAAAAAATATTATCAAGTATTTTTCTCCTGTCGGTTTTGCATGCCTCTATATTTTGCAGTTCGCGATATGTAAATATTCTAATTTTTAAACAAAACAATGACTTTAATTATAATAAAAATAAATAGGTCACGACTAAACCGTATCGACTATAAAAAAAAAAGTATTTAAATCCTTTACAATTAAAACTCAATTAACAATTGGATCAGAATTGGAAAAATTGATTTCTTTTTGTCTATAACGCACAAAACATTCTGATATTTTCAAAAAAAGAAAAGAAATAGATAAAAACTGGTTATGCGTCATGTAAGACATCTCAACAACTTTGTTTATCATTTTTGATAGATTAAGATGATCAAATCGATAAGTAGGTAGTTACAATATCGATTTATGATTAAGTAGTTACACTTGCTACAGAGAATGTTATAATACCGACATCTTTATCTTGATGATTGCGTCAAAACTAATGTTCAATTTTTTGAATCAGTAATTTCAAGTTACAACATTCGTTGGTATTGTAAACTAAGCCTTATGCCATAAACACATATTTCACTTTCATCAGCATATACAAAAAGAAAACAAAACTGTTAATTTTAAATATAAAAAAAAACTATTTATAATGTGAAAATTTTTTTTAGAATAAATGGTTAGCTCTGTGGACTGTAAAAAGAATCGGTACAAAATTGATGGTGATATTTCACATAAGTATAAGTACAATAAAATACCGAAATTTTATGAAATTATTTAATTAATGTACTTATAATATTTTTAAATTATTTCAAAAAAGGAATTTTAAATATAAAGGCGAAGGAATATTTAATTTTCTTCAAATATTTTTTGTCGCATTTACTGAAGAGTAAAGTCTGATGACACTTTTTACAATAACAATATGTCCTCCTTCATCAAAACTGCATTTCTTGAAACAATTTACTAAAATAACAAAATACTTAGTCCCCATTAAAAAAAAATTGAGAATTTAGTATTTTGAAGACGTAGTAACCCAAAGTACTACAAATACAAGGCAGATCTCTTATCGTTTTTCGCTTAAAGACATACAAAAGTCTAATCTACACTACAAAGCACTACAAAGTTTATACATAATTCATATTATAAATTTAATGATGAAATGGATTACATTTCTCAAATGTTGGTATTATTGCGATTAAAATTTTTAGAACAAAAAATGAGAAATTTGAATAAATTATGTACAATAATAAATAATTATGGCAGTCTATGAGGATGGCCAGCATATGTCCAGCAGTGGAGAGATAATGGTTGAAATAATGATGATGTATAATAAAGATTTTACAACAACAACAACAACAAAGTACGTAAAACCCAATAGGCGATTACTTATCGGCAGGGTGGGATCTCGAGTGGCAATCCCTAATAAGCAAATGCATTGTAGTGCGACTGGATCCAACGATTTCTTTATTTATTGCTTCTTGGCGTCTTATTAGCTCATAAAATTTGTCATAAATAAATGTTATATCTAACTTGGAAAAGGCCATAATAGTAAATACGAGTAGGTTACTTTCGTCCTGATCAATAAATGTTCCCGTGGGCTACTGAAAATAGATTGCCCGCGAGCGTACTAATAGAGTTACTAGTTATTAAATAAAAATTGCTAAATCCCTCATCAAGCGTATAAAACAAGATTACTAGAGTTATTGTTTACATTCTAATGCAGTATTGTCTGACCTTGGAACAAGTGCAGCTAATTAAAAAAATATATATAATAGTAAGCATAATTTATTATTGCTGTGATAATTTTACACAACATATTACAATGTTATGTGTGCTCGAATAAACAGTAATAAAAACCTCGCTTAGAAAACGTGATCACCACTGTCCTATTTTTCCGATATACGATTTTGAAATTGCAACAAAATATGGAGCAAGATTCCATTATGTAATTAACAACTGTTTATTATGTAAATTATTATCAAAATAAAAGATAAAATTTACATGTAATCAGTTGGTAATTTTCGATATTAAAAACTATTTACTTTTAGTGACTTTGCGTAATGTATTTTCAAGTTCGTTAATATTTTATCTACCTCCTGTCTGAAGTAATATTTAAATATAATGTTAAAAATAATGTTGAAAACACTAATATAGAAAATTACTTCGTAATTAGACAGTTTATTTAATATATGTTTTTTTAAATTCTAATATTCACCAAAAATATATATAAACAATATTTTCTATTTGCTGGACAAACACTTCTACGTTGCTGTTTACAAACTTTTTTTTTAAAAACTTACGTGGTGTGTCTGATGTCTCCTCATCCATAATGGCCAACTTGCTGGGCCTTTTATCTTCTTCTGGCTTCAAACCCATTTTCACTGTAATAAAGTTCGAAATAAAAAAAAAATAAGAACCGACAAAAAGAACGCGGTTTTTAAAATTCGAATTCACTGTCTGTTTTTATGGCACAATTATTTTTATTTCTGGCCAATATTTTTTATTGGTGTGTTAAACATCAGGTTTTATTTCTATTTCAGGTGCGTGGTTTCGCGCGCGTCAGAGCGTCATGTTCTCAGATGAGGCATGCCGCGTATTTCGCCCGCGAAGGTTGCTGTCGACTGTCACGCTACGTTGGGCTAGCCTTGTTTTTAAGCCACGCTACTTGGCGGCACGCGGCACGCTTACAAGTCGACTTGTCATACGCATACAGGCCCTACTATGGATTTTATCGCTGTCGACAGGTAAATGCATATTGTTCGTACACGTCAAATAGATACAAGAGAAAAATAAAATAAATGTGCAATGTCTACGCGTCTGCTTTTACAAGTATTTTACTGCCTACCTACCATGAAAGATTGTCCAAAATTTTAAAGCTGAATAAATCATAAACTTGATGAAATCATTAAATAAATACTGCTTTGTCTAAGGGCCTGAACTTTTTTTTTTCTAATTGTAGTTGCTGTTGGCCGCAGATGGTCTTTAGAGATTCACATTCATCGTACGCTTAAATATTATTTTCGTACATTCAAAAAAAATTATGTCATGAAAATGTTACATTTTCAACTTACACACAGGAAGCCATAGGATTAGAATTAACAATTTAATTGCTGCAAGATACAACTATTAAGAATTAGGATAGTATAAATGTGTTATTTTTTTATGCAACTTAAAATGGCAAACAAGCTGACGGCTCATCTGATGGAATGAGATAACCGTCACCGATAGACATGAGCAGTAACGGTACTGCTAACATAACAGAGTATACTGTTTCACCCATGATACCCCCCATGCGTTACCATTCCTGAGGACTAAGGTGTTATTACTCTGTACCCAGTGTTTAGACAAAAACGGTCCCAATTAATCTTATTAATATTATAAATGTAAAAAGTTCGCAATAAATGGATGTACATTTGCTAGTTTTTCACGCAGAAATTACTGAACGAATTTGAACGAGATTTGTTATACAAATTGACTATATAGATACTAATTTAGCACATAGAATGCATTATGTACTGACTAACACGCGCAAAGGCACGGGATACAGCTAATTTAGCACTTAGGATGCTTTACGTGCTTATTTACTTTTTTTATGGGTGATAATGGAATGGTAACCCCACCCGCGCTATCGGTATATACCGGCGGGGCACCAATGAAGGATGATAAGTGAGAATGAAACAGGTCAGTTAGCCCATCGTGACCAATTCAACAAGAATTGTTCACGATAGTTTCCAGGGGGAACCAAGTAGAGGTCGACTTAATAGGGCATATTGCTAGCAATAGGGCTTTCAAACTCCATTACTAACAATCCCTTTCCCCCCGTGCTTATTTACTTGGGCATATGAAAAGAGGTTATAATAACCGCTTTCCATCACTGTTTCTAACCTACGGCAATGCTTTAACACCAAAGAATAACCCGCGTGAATTATCGACATCACACTGTCACATCTGCTTATTAAAAAATAAAATATGCGTATCTCAAAAACTCAAGACAAGAGCGGTATCTTACAAGATAGACAAGAGATACATGTGCCATTGTCTTTTATTCTTTCAGTGAGACATCACGTGACCGCTAGAATACATTTAATTATTAGATATAGCAAATTTTTTAAAGCATGTAACATGCGCGTATCATAACATTCACATTTTAAAATTACAATTTTAAAATTACTTTACTTAAACTCATTTTAATACTAAAACCAATACAATTTAATTTAAATTAAATACAATAATTAATGTATAAAATTATTTAAATTAGCCACGTGGTCCCGGCGTGGAATAGGTCACCTCTTCCTTTCCCGTAGGTGTCGTAAGACGCGATTAAGGGAGGGCGAGGGACGGGCAGCAGCGACACTCTTAAAACATCTCCAAAGCCCAACAGCGGTTGCCAATACGCTTGCCAAGCGTAGCAACTACTGGAAACCACCCCCCCCCCCACCCTTTCTCCCGGGAGAAGCTTATGTTTAGCAGTGGCGTGTTAAAGGTGATATGATATGATGATGATGATTATTTAAATATAGTTTGTAATGATCGCATAAGCATATATAAAGCGAATAATATTGAACAAAGAATTCATTGTATTTATAATTTAATAACTACGGTATTTTCTGTTCTTTGTTTGCAGTGTATGTAGTTTTAATCTACTACACAAGGTATATTTTGTTTTTACCCGACTGCGCGACACAAAGTAACTAATGTGTTTATTCCGTGTTGCTTACTGTACATACTGGCAGCTTTATAATCTTTTACTTTGGAAATTTGGTTTTTAATGCAGAACCAATTGTCATGACTATTTTTGTAATATACTTCGCTCCTAAGTGATTCTATACGTACCTATTTTAAGCAAGTTGAAATAGTTTTTATTTTTAGAAATAAAATCTTAAATTTATTTATAACGGGTGCCAAAAAAATCATAGTCAATATAAGATTTTTAAAAAGTAAAGAAACTAGAAATTTATGTCAAATTATTATAAAAAATATATAATTTTATTTCTAAATAAAACGACCTAAACTTATTTAAAATGACTATAGAACTACTACGGAGCGAATTGTATTACAAAAATAGTAATTGAAATCGGTTTAGAATTGAGGAAAAAATACAGTATACTGTATTTTTTCTTTTATTTCTTATTTTTTGAAACCCTGATCCTTTAAAGTCGTATCGTTAAATATGAAAACAACGTGACTAGTACCTACTCTATACCATAAAACAGGAATTAATATCGTAATAATTTCTTTTTATTGTATAAATAATAACAAATAAAATCTGTGTGTTTTATGAAAACAAATTATAAAAAAAAACAGTATATAGTATTTTTACTACTCAATTCGTCCAAATTTGTTTAACAGATTACACTGAAGGAAGATGGGTAACTCCAGTCGACCTTCGTGCAGTTCCCCCTGAAAACTATCGTGCTCAGTTCCAAGTGAATCCATCATTATGAACTAACTGATCATCTTCGCTTATTATCCCTCACTGGTGTCCCGCCAGCGTATACCGTTAGCGCAGGCGGGCAGACTGTTTCATTACCATTCATTTAAAAAAAACAGACTTCAATTTCATAATTTAAAAATTAAGCCAATTTAAAGTATTAATATAAGAGTATAACTAATCAATTATATCAGTTATTTACTTAATTTATACTTATTTATATAAAAAGAAGATGTCAAGATCGTACAAGTGTCAAAAACAAAAAAAAAAAAAACAACGTAAACAGAAATTATTTTCGCATTAATATTTGTAAGGAGCATTGGTATTCGTACAAAATGAACATCGTCAAAACATTCCTCGAACTTGCGCCTAATTAGCATGCAACACGAGTCTGGTACACAGAAGTGAAGAAACCACGCCGCCATCGGACTACCAAATTTGGGACACATACATCACACGTTTAAAACTAACAAATGCAATATATATGTACTCATGTGAAAAAAAAAAGAAAAAAATATACACACATATAAAGTATATATAAAAGGGTACATAATACTTGATATGCCCACCGCTTGAAGGTCGACCTGACAGCATATCTTGCTAACAACAAAGCAATTACGAGTAGACCCCGTTATTAACAATCCTTTTGCGGGAGTGTTTTTTGATCTTCTTTAAATTAATTTTATTTTTATTTATATAAGGATTAGTCTTTTTTATATATTGTGTATTAGATTGTATATTTAATTGTATATTTTGTAGTAATAGTGTTTGTTGCTGTAAATATTGGTAAGTAAATTACCTATATTAACATTATGGATCCACCTATAGACCCTGGGGGGACAACCCCCAGGTGTCTGCAAATATAACTATTCCATTCAATAATAGTTTTGATATATTAGGTGAATCTAGTATGGACACAGATGGTTCTAGCGTTGCAAGTTCTAAACGTAAGCGAGTACGTGGTGAACGTCGCATTTGCAAACATTGCAATAAAAAACGAAGGAGGCACACCAAGGGTCTTGAATCTAAAATTAAAGATAGTGATTGTCAATGTATTGAAGATGAGAATCAAACTCAAGTATCAATACCAGTTGTAAACAATACCGAGTCTGTTAAACCTGCTTCTCCACCCAGTACTTTAAGCAGAACTTTGTACAATGCCGAGGATATAGCACCTTATGTCGTTCATGTACAAAAAAATGAAACACATCCTAATGATAACACTACATTACATCCTATTGCATTTGGTCGCTTTTTACACACTAATAAGATAAATAATATAGTGAATGGTAGCCTCAAAAGAATAGGAAGAAACCGTTTATCGCTTTCTTTCTCAAATTTTGAAAATGCAAATGCATTTTTAAATAATAGTAACTTAGTGACACATAATTTTAAGGCATTTATACCTTCTTTCCATGTAACCCGTATGGGAATTGTGAGGGGTATTCCTAAAGATTGGACAGAAGAGGAAGTAATCCAAAATATATCAGTACCGATAGGTTGTGGGAAAATTCTAAAAACCAGAAGAATAAAGAAAAAGACAATTAATGAAGGACAACCAAGTTTTATTAATACTGAAACCATTGTTATTACTTTTGATGGACAAATATTGCCAAAAAGAGTATTTATGTTTTACACATCATTAACTGTAGATTTGTACATTTACCCTACTATCCAATGCTATAACTGCTGTAGGTTCGGACATGTCAAGATGCAGTGTCGTTCAAATCCTCGGTGTTATAAATGCAGGCAAAATCATACAGGTGATAAATGTGAAGTAGATGAGGAAAATGTTTCTTGTATCTTGTGTAATGGTTCTCATTCAGCAATTAGTAAAAAATGTCCTGAATATGCACGTCAGAAAGCCATTAAAGAAACAATGGCCCATAGTTGTGTTTCTTATGCTGAAGCATCAAAATTTCATCCTCCAACTTCTAAACTATATTCAGATGTATTAACATCATCATCTCCTTCCAATAAATCTCATTTTCAATCTTCTTTCCTTAAAGAGAAATCATCATTACCACATATACAATCATCATATAAAAAAACAGTTACACTTAAACCACGCTCTCCTCAAAAAATACAACAAGGATATGATCGTTCTGCCCATGAAGCCATAGTTAAGGAATATAATTGTGATGTTTGTGGGTACATCATTAATGTATGACATTTGTAAATGTGTACCTACCTCTCAATCGGGATTTGCCAGTCTGTTGCCGGCATTAAAACGTATAGCTGATTAACTGTGTATATATTTAAAACTATATCCCAAAACAGTATATTTTGGCGACGAGGTATCAAACTCAAGCGTGCATTTAGTCATTTAGTGTAGTGGAAGTAAAATGGCTAGTAGTGGAAGCATGTTCGGTGGCAGTCTCAGCTTCGATCATAGAACGCAAGAATGGAGCATTTTTCAAAGCCGTTTTGTACAATATTGTGCAGCGAATGATATCGACGATAACACAGACAAGGCAGGGATAAAACGCCGTGCGTTGTTACTCACGGCGCTGGCTGAAGATACCTACCGAATAGCGATCGATTTGACCTTCCCGACCTCTGTGGAGGTTATCGACTACAAAGCGTTGATTAAAATTTTAAATAATCATTTCAAAAGTAAAAAAAGTTCCTTTGGCGAGCGACTCAAATTCAACTCGGCACAACAACGACCGGGTGAGGAGTTAGCGGAATGGGCAGCTCGAGTGCGGAATTTGGCTAAACATTGTGGATACAAAACTGAACTGGAAACAATGCTTCGAGATCGTTTTGTTCTCGGTATGGTGCCTTCGAAGGAGAAAGAAAAGTTATTTGCTGAAAGTGTCGAAACTTTGACCTTTAACCAAGCTTTGGAGATCGCTCAAGGTGTGCAGTGTGCGCGGCAAGCATTGCAAGGGGTGGACATGGATGCAAGTGGAGGAGTGCTGGCGCAGCCGGTGTTCGCGTTGCGTACAGAGCGCAGTGAGCGCGGCGGCCGCAGTGGCGACGGTGGCGGCGGCGGCGGCGGGACCGGCGGCGGCGGCGCGCCGCGGTCTGGCTCGGCGCCTGCAGCAACGGCGCGATTTTCGTCGCGAAATGGTGCAAATCGGTGTGATGTGTGTGGTTATAAAAATCATTCAAAAGATAAGTGTCGATATGCCGAGTTCACATGTAGGAAGTGCAATCAAAAGGGACATTTGTTACGGATGTGTAAATTGAACGTAAAAAGTAATTATTTTTTGGCTGTGGATGATGACGACACTGTTAAAGGTTATGATATGTTTAATATAGAATGCATTAATGGTGAGCCGATGCGGCAGGCAGTCGAGATTGATGGTTGCAAAATAATGAGCGAAGTCGATAGTGGTAGCGCTGTTTCTGTCTTGCCTTATAGTATATATCGGTCCGCGTTTGAAAAGAAAAATAAGCTTAAACCGTGTGAAGTTGTTTTGAATTGTTATAACGGGAGCAAAATCTCACCTGTAGGTTACATAATGACTTCAGTCACTTTTGAAGGTCGCATTAAACCAATTAAATTGTTTGTAATAAATACACAAAACAATCAACCAGCCTTATTAGGTCGGGATTTCATTAGCGCATTTGATTTACATTTGTGTAGGGTCGGTTGCAATAATTTAAATGTTGAAAATATTAGTGATTTATTAAAAAAAAAGTTTAGTGATTTATTCAAAGATGAGTTAGGTACTTTTAACAAATATAAAATAAATTTAAAATTAAAATCAGACTCGCCATTAAAATTTTTTAAGCCTCGCCCGGTACCCCTTGCTCTTCGAACAAAAGTAGAAAATGAATTACAACGTCTTTTGGAATTAGGAATTTTAGAGAAAGTAGAATATTCTGATTTTGCCACTCCTATTGTACCCGTTCTTCGGTCAGATGGTAATATTAGAATATGTGGTGACTTTTCAGTGACATTAAATAAGGCTATATATTCAGATAATTATCCATTGCCCCGCATTGAGGATTTGTTTGCTAAACTGCATGGAGGGGTTGAATTTTCTAAATTAGATCTTTCTAGAGCCTACAATCAATTAGTACTAGACGATTCAAAAAAATTTACATGTATAAATACACACAAAGGTTTGTTTATATACAACCGTTTAGTTTTTGGATTGTCAAATGCGCCATCTATTTTTCAACGGACAATGGAACAATTATTATCAGATATCGAGGGTACTTGTATATTTTTGGACGATATTTTAATAACAGGGGCGACTAAAGAGGTACATCTTAAGAGGTTAGAGGAGGTGTTAAGTCGACTGCAAGAAGCTGGCCTACGACTAAAATCTGACAAGTGCGAATTGTTCAAAGAATCGGTGGAATATTTAGGATTTAAAATAGATCGTAACGGCTTACATAAATCGGAAAAAAAAGTTGAAGCAATTTTAAACTGTACAAGCCCAAAAAATGTAAATGAATTAAAATCTTTTTTAGGTATGGTTAATTATTATAGATGCTTTATTCCTAACACTTCTAGTTTATTAAATCCACTGCATACTTTATTGAAAAAAAAAATGAGAAATGGAGGTGGGATGCGATACATGACGAGACATTTAATATGATTAAAAAGCAATTGGCATCGGAACGGGTGCTGGCGCATTACGATCCAGTGTTAGCCACTGTGGTGACATGTGATGCCGGTCCAGCTGGACTGGGCGCTGTGCTGGCCCAGCGGCAAAGCGACGGACGCGAGCGGGTCGTTGCTTATGCGTCTAGGTCACTTTCCAAAGCAGAACGTAATTACGCACAGATCCAGAAGGAAGCGGCTGCTATTGTCTTTGCTATAAAAAAGTTTCACTACTATTTGTACGGTCGTATGATTCCATTTACGCTTCGCACGGACCACAGGCCACTTTTATCAATTTTTGGAAGTAAGAAAGGGGTACCGGAAATGGCGGCCAATAGATTACAAAGGTATGCCTTATTTTTATCGGCCTACAATTTTAACATAGAATACATTAAAAGCGATCAAAATGTTGCCGATTACCTGTCTAGATCGGTATTACCGGATCAGAATTCCAGTAATAATGTAGAGGACCAAGCTTTATATATAAATTTTGTCACGGATACAATTTTGAAACCAGTGACTATAACAGATATTAAAAAAGCTACAGCTAGCGATAAATTAATTAAAAAAGTAATGGGTTACATCGAAAAAGGGTGGCCTACCAAGATAACCGATCCAGAATTAAGGCCTTACTATAACTGTAGATTAGAACTATCAGTTGAGAATAACTGTTTAATGCGTGGCCATAAATTAGTTATTCCGGCTATTTTTAGGGAACAGTTATTAAACGAATTGCACAATTCACATTTCGGAGTTGTTAAAACGAAAACGGAAGCTCGGAGTCGTATGTGGTGGCCTCAAATAGATAAGAATATTGAGCAAAAAATCGGCTCTTGTAGTATATGCGGCGCGCTTCGAAACGCGCCACCGCGCGCTCCGCTCGCGCCGTGGCCGTACCCTTCGCAGCCATGGGAACGTATACATCTAGATATGTTGTATATAGACGGAAAATATTTCATGGTAGTGATAGACGCACACTCTAAATGGTTAGAATGTTTTTTAATGACGACCACTACTACTGAAATGATTATTTCTAAAATATGTGAACTGTTTAGTAGGTTTGGGTTGGTGAAAACTATAATTACTGACAATGCTCCTAATTTCTGTTCAAATCAATTTGATGAGTTCTGTAACAAAAATGGAATACAACATTTAACTATCGCACCCTATCATCCACAATCAAATGGGCAAGCAGAAAACAGTGTAAAAACTATAAAAAAGGCTTTAAAAATTATATTACAAGAAAACAAAACACAGAAAACTATATTACAACAATTGAATAAATTTTTATTTGATTATAGAAATAGTAGTCATTGTACTACCGGTTTTTCTCCAGCCCAGTTGTTGTTGGGTCGGTCTTTACGTTGTAGACTCGACCTCCTGCTGCACGTGCCAAATGCGGATAGGACAAATAATTTAACAGAGTCAGTATCAGCTACAGCCAATTCTAATGTTGAAAATAAACAGACCTTACAGAGTAAACAATACGGAGGACATCGCAGAACTGATTTCAAAAAAGGAGATAAAGTTTTAGTTAAGCAGTATTATAATAATGGTAACAAACATATTTGGCAATTTGGGATCATATCTAAGGAAATCGGTTCTAGGATGTACAACGTGTTATTACCGGGAAGTAAACAGTATGTAAAGAAACATGTGGATCAAATTTTAGCTTATAGAGGCTCGGATAAAACTTATGAGGTTGATGATGTAAGCATTATTGGAAGCTTTGAACAAGAATATGAGAAGAGCACAGAGGGCCAAGAAGATTGCATATACGAGCAACAAGATCAAAACAGCGATTCTTCATTTCAATCATTACCGGAGAACATCCATAATAGTATGATGTCCAAATTGGGAGAGGAGCGAGCTGGTGGGGAGGAGAGAATATTAAGTGATAACAACGCGTCGAGTCCGATACCTCTAGGTTCGGATCCAGTGCAGCCTCTCAATGTGCCATCAACTGATAATAATGAACACACCTTGCGTCAAAGACCCCTTAGAGCGACTCGGAAAAAAATAAATTATAAATTGTAATTGAGATATTTTAGGCTGTTCATTGTTTTAGATAATTTTATACTACTGGTGGAGGGATGTGATGTTTGTGGGTACATCATTAATGTATGACATTTGTAAATGTGTACCTACCTCTCAATCGGGATTTGCCAGTCTGTTGCCGGCATTAAAACGTATAGCTGATTAACTGTGTATATATTTAAAACTATATCCCAAAACAGTATAATAATATTCCTGCTCCCTCTAATGGTTGTGCATTATCATCAAATAATATTGACAATAATCAATCCATCATTGATATTATTCTCATGCTTATTAAAGTGTTATCGCAATCAAAAATGATACAAACAACTTTACCACCGTCCAACGATGCCATGTACAATGTATTTTCTCAATTATTAACTTCTCACAATGGATTACAAAGTCCAAATAATTCAGTGGAACTGTCGTAGCATAACAAATAAGAAATCAGACTTATTTTATTTGATTAATAAATATAATCCTTTTATAATAGCTCTACAAGAGACTTGGTTAAAGCCAGGATATCCTTTTAGGATTTCAGGCTTTACAAGTCTCCGTGATGATAGAGCTGACGGATATGGCGGTGTTGCCATATTGGTCAAAAACTCCCTTCTTTTTTCTTCTTTTTCGCTTCCTGTATATAGCGGCATTAATGCAGCTGCTATAATTATAAATGGTATCTGTTTTGTTACTTTATATATTCCTGATCCTACATGCCAAATATATTCACAACTAGAACAATTATTTTCAATTTTACCTAAACCTTTTCTCGTAATGGGCGATTTTAATGCTCAGCACCAATCGTGGGGCAGTTCTACTTCTAATTTTTATGGTGGAAAACTCCTGACGATAATTGACACTTACAAATTATGTATTATTAACTCAGATGTACCGACACGTAGAACTGCACCGAATGAAGGGTTTAGTGCTCCTGATATTTCAATATGTTCTTCTGATTTAGCTTCTTCACTGTCGTGGTATCCTCATTCCTCTACCTTCGGAAGCGATCACTTTCCCCTCATTCTTTCTTTTCCAATTTCCATTCCCTCAAGTCGAAAGAGTGGTCCTCGACTTAAATATAATTTATCAAATGTAGACTGGAATATTTACAAACAATATTTAGATAATAAAATATCGGAGTTACCTATTGTTTATCATGGAAATGAACATCAATGTTGTAATGACTTGATAATTAATATGAAGGAGGTTGCTGATTTATTATTTCCTGTAAAAAATAGTGCTTCAGGGAAAATTCCCTCCCCACCTTGGTGGGACAAAGATTGTACGGAAGCAATTAAAAATCGTAAAGAGGCTGAAAAAAATTATAATAATTACATGACATCAGAAAATTTTGAAATTTACACCGCAGTTTCACGTTCTACTCGAAAACTACTGAAAAAAAAGAAATTGGAAGGTTGGAGAAGATTTTGTTCTTCTATCTGTCCAGAAGTTAATTCATCAGTCGTTTGGAATAATATTAAAAGATTCAGATCTGCCTTTAGTGATCATACATCACGTTCTGCACTCGATTTAACTTTAGCAAATAAATTTTTAGATCGCCTTGCTCCTAGTTATGTGCCGGAATGCCTTTACAATATTTCTCTATCCGTCTCTGACGAATTATCCGAACTTGAGTCTCCTTTTACTCTTGTAGAACTTAAAGGTGTTCTAGCTTGTATTAAAGACTCTGCACCGGGAGAAGACGGTATACCGTATTCCTTTTTTAAAAATGCTAGCGATGCGACATTAATTTACTTTTTAAATATAATTAATTCCATAATTATTTCGGGAAATATACCTACTTCATGGAAGTCTCAGATTATTATACCATTTCTAAAGCCTCATAAACCACCTTCTGAACCATCTTCATACCGTCCTGTTGCACTTTCCTCTGTCTTACTAAAGCTAGCTGAACATTTAGTGAAGAACCGTCTAGAATGGTTTTTAGAAAGTAATAACTTACTATCCCCGAACCAGTTTGGTTTTAGGAAAGGTAAGAGCACCTTAGATAATGTGAGCATTCTTATTTCAGATATTCATATAGCTTTCTCACAAAATTTGTCAATCCTCTCAGCCTTTTTAGATATAAATTCTGCCTATGATAATGTAATAATTTCTATTTTAAAAACTAAATTACAAGCTTTAAATGTACCGGTAATGCTTTCTAATTTCATTATTAATATTTTATCAGAAAGAACAATACATATGGATCTAGATGAAGATACCAAATTATCTAGAACAGTATGGAAAGGCCTTCCACAAGGATCTGTTCTCAGTCCAATTTTATTCAACATATACACATACGATCTAGAATCATTCCTTGATAAATCCGTCAAAATTTTACAATATGCTGATGATCTCTTATTATATTTTATTGCGAAGTCCATAGAATCTGCTTCTGCCAAATTATCTGATTCATTAGATTTGTTAAAAACGTGGTTAGATGCAAATGGTCTTAATCTTTCTGTAACTAAGAGTAGTGTAGTTTTGTTTTCAAGAATGAGATCACCGCAACAAATTAAGGTGCTTTATGATAACTCATACATTCCTATAAAGACTGAAATTAAATTTTTAGGTATCGTGCTAGATAATAAATTAACAGGTCTGTCCCACTGTAATTATATTTCCACGAAATGTGAGCGTAACCTCAACATTCTTAGGTGCCTCGCTGGAGTTTGGTGGGGAGCACATCCCGTTTCACTAAAACTTGCTTATAATGGTCTTATAAGGAGTGTCATTGATTATGGAACTTTTTTGTTAGCTCCAGGAAGTTCATTTGCTTTTAAGAAATTGGATTTAATTCAATCAAAGGCCTTGTGGATTATCTCTGGAGCAATGAAATCAAGTCCAATCAATGCTTTACAGCTCGAAGTCGGTGATCCACCTTTGGTTTTAAGAAGGCAATATTTATCTGATCGCTTCTTTTTTCATTGTTTACAATTATCTGATCATCCGCTTATTCAAAAGTTATCTCAACTATATATCTTTATTTCGTCTTCATCTTATTGGAAACATAAAAAACCTCCATGTTTAATACAAAGTTATGAAAAATATAAATCCATAGAATCTCCCACTTTTACATCGTCCTGTTTTCCCATTTATAAATGCTCATATCAATCTTTAGTTTTATCTCCTAATATTAAATATGATTTTGGGTTATCAAAAAATGATTCAGAATTGAATGCCAAATTTATGTTTATAACTGACATTGAATGGAATGAATGGCACTACATCTTTACTGATGCATCAAAACCAGACAATAGCGGTTGTGTAGGTGTGGGTGTGTTTCATTCACAATTTAATATCGTTCAAAAAATTAAACTTCCACCGGAATCTTCAGTTTTTACCGGGGAATGCTATGGTATTTTAAAAGCTGTAGAATATATACTTTTAATGAAATTACATAAGGCAATAGTTTTCACTGACTCTATGAGCTCTTTGCAAGCTCTAGCCAAATATCCGTTTAAATCAAAACCAGTTTATCCCATTATTTGTGACATAAGACAAAGTCTTTATCTTTGCATGTTGAGAAGGTATTCCGTTTCTTTTGCCTGGTTACCAGGACACAGTGGTATTAGCGGCAATGACAAAGCTGACCTTATTGCAAGAGAGGCTGTAACTTGTGGTGATATGTATCCGTATCATAATTACTGTAGTGACCTAGCTTGTCTCCCAAAAATATATTTAAGGTATGCCTGGAAGGAATATTGGGAAAAAACAAGTACAATAAAAGGAAGATTTTATCGCCTTATACAACCCGATATTCCTTTCAAACCATGGTTTTGTAAATTAAAGCTTGGAAAGACCGCAACAACTATTATAACTCGTATGCGTCTAGGTCACGTATGCACACCTTCTCATTTATACAAGCTTGGTATTGTACAAAGTTCGTCGTGTAATTGCGGTGCTGAAGTGGCGGACTTGAATCATATATTCTTCTCATGTTCTAAATTTGACCACACCTCCCTTTTTAATCATCTCCGATCCATTCGTGTTCCATTCCCAACTTCTATTCTTACTCTACTTTCTTCCAATGATCCTATTATCTATAAAATACTATCTTCATATATATATGATAACAATATTAAGATTTAGTTATATTACATGAATACATTTATAGTTGCATCAATTGCTTTTCCTATATATTTATAAGTATATTCTCATATGTACAAGTATATCCTTCATATCCTATAAATATCCTAGACCTAATCCTTATCCTTTCTAAATTCGTTTGTGTTAGGTATTTTTATTACTATTATCGTTTCCCCGTTTTGTTCTTGGCAAAATACCCTAATATCGGGGTGAACGCCACATAAGAAGAAAGAAAAAAAAAAAAAAAAAAACAATCCTTTTACCCCCGAAAAAAAAAAAAGTATATATAACGCAATGAACTTAACATTTTAATAAATAATTTAAGATTGTGTGTGTTTCATAAAAACATACGATTTCAATCTTCAAACCAGTTAGTGACGGAGTGTTTTTAGGGTTCCATGCCTCCAAAGGAAAAAACGAAACCCTTATAGGATCACTTCATTGTCCGTCTTCTGTCAAGACCTTTTTTCTTAGGAACGCGTGGAAGTATCAAATTGAAATTAATATCATATATTCAGGTCTGCAATCTCTTAAAACGGTGAAAAAAATCAAGCTTCTAAATCGATGCAATCAAAAGATACGGCCGTTTATGTAGCATTTATATCGCATATATTGACATTCGCAAAGGGAATCAAAACCTATAGGGTACTCCCTATTGACCTAGAGTCATGAAATTTGGCATTGTCATATAGCATAAGTAAAAGAAAAATCCAAAAACCGTAAATTTATAGTTATTTCACAAAAAAAATCTTGAAAAAAAATTAAACTTGATGATTTTGTATGGGACATACGTTGCGCGAATTCGACTCGCACTTGAACGATTTTTTTATTATTATTTTTTTTTTATATTTGTATTTGTTACTTTATCAAACCAAAACAAAAATCGCAACTGAATTAAGAACCCTCTCCTGTTTGAAATCTGTTGAAAAACGCTGGATCAATCGGTTAAATTGTAGCAAAACTAATTATTTTAATTTAACACTAAACTAATCAACCGATTTTGATATAAAAATAGATTGAGGTAAAAAAATCCAAATCAATTTATAAATGACGGAGTTATTGAAATCGTTTGAAAATAAGAAGGGAAAGGGAACGACTAAAGCATAGTTCATCAGGCAGATTAAGAAAAAAAAATTGGTGTCGTGACAAAGATCAAGAAGCAAAGAGACTTGCCGAAATCCTAGTGAGTGGGTAGTGCTTGCCACTAATCGACTAAAGAGAACGTCACTATTTTTTGTCGACTAAAATCTTAAATTCACTTTGCAGCAAGCGAAACGTAATTTGTTTGCTTATAAAAACATAATGATGACAAAAAAAAATAAGGTGTTCAAGTTTCGAACAGGTATGAATAGAACATAATTGGGCCAAATATTTTGCTATAGGTCTAAATATAAATTCACACATTGAAAAACTTAACTCGCATTTTATTAAAATGTGACCAGCGCAAACATAATTTGCGTCATAGCGGATTTATATTATTTTTGTTATACTTAGGTAAATATTACCCATTTTAATAACAGTTGCATTGTAAGATTCTAATTTGAAAATTCAGATTCTCGCTCATTTTAAACCGAATAATATTCGATATCCAATAGGAGATTTATATCTAGTGACTAGCCGTTTTCTGCGGGGTTGCCCGCTTCTATGTAGTTCCCGTAAGTGGAGGAAACCGCAACACATATTGATGCGTTGCGGTAGAAACGGCTTAACCGATTTGAAAGCGGTTTTCATTGGAAGCCGTTTCTGAGATTAACGCGCACAAACGTACAGATAGACAGACGAAATTCTAAAAATAATTGTTTTGGATTCTATTGCGTTCATAAAGCCCCCCTATATTAGTTTTTCTCATATATATTCCATGTACAGACAGCGACCAATAACGATTTTATTATATGTATCGTTTACTAATGAAGTAATATGTATTGATTACTAATTAAGTAATCAGTAAATATAAACCAGTTTTTTTATGGGTGATAAATGAAACAGGAACCCCACCCACGCTATTGGTATACACCGGCGGGGCACCACTGAAGGATGATAGGTGAGGATGAAGCAGGTCAGTTAGCCCATCGTGACGAATTCAATGAGAATTGTTCAAGATGGTTT